CCACCTTCTGTCACTCTGGGCTCACCACAGGGGACAGCAGTTGCAGTGACTTCATTTGACTGATTCAAGTGAGTAATTACCTTAATGAACTGTCTGCAGGAAAGCTAAAGTAAAGCCCATCTTTTTTGATCATGTTTGATTGATGCAGTTCTAATGGTGCCTGTCCCAAGCTCCAGGCTCTGGATTCTGGAAGGTTTGTAGGAGTCACTCAAATTGGCAGGAACCAAGGCAGCAAGAAAACCAAGCAGGACAGCAGGGTCCCTGTGGTGCAGGGCAGTCTACAGTGACAGGCTCCTGGAGCAATGCCACACATCCATCAGCCAGGATTCCCTCCACCATTCCAGGGCCAGGAAGCACATTGGCTGACATCAGCTCCAGGAGATGCCAGGGAATGCTGCCAAGTTGCTGTCTTTGCCCTCTTCAAGGTCTATTTATACCTACTCATGGACATCAGAATAACCTTGGGGTATGAGAGACCTTTCCACCACAGTGGATGATGGGTTTGGGAACTGTTGTTCCTATTGCATTATTTTTGCTAAGGTGCCAGCATCTCCATCAGGTTTCCAGATGCCATTTCAAAGTCTGAAAGAAGCCAGGACCAGAAAAAGGCTTCTGATACTCCCTGGGCTTTACTGACACTTTATTTTCTGCCAGTCTTGGTGCTGTTTAAGGAGAGTCAGAGTCTCTTATAAAAGGTGTGGCCTGGATTGCTGGAGCAACCTGTGCTGGTTCCCTTCACCAGAACACACTTCCCATCAGTGTCTCCACTGGTTTATCAGATGTTTGACTAAATAGCTGTGAATGGTGCCCAGGAGCACTTACAGCACAGAACTGGGGTTTGCAAGATTGTCTCATTGGGACCAGCCCAAGGCTGAGGGAAGTAGCCTCAGGGAGGGCCACCCTGTGTCAACAGAGCAAAATAGTTCTGCAATGGCACAGAGCAAGGCTCCATCTCCCCAGCCATGAGGATCACCCACTGGGAGTCATTGGAGCTTTGCTTAGATCCTTCATAGAATGGCTTGGGTTGGAAGGGACCTTAAAGCTCATCCAGTCCCACCCCCTGCATGGGCAGGGACACCTCCCAGCAGCCCAGGCTGCTCCAAGCCCCATCCAACCTGCCCTTCAACACTGCCAGGGATGGGGCAGCCACAGCTTCCCTGGGCAGCCTGGGCCAGGCTCTCACCCCCCTCACACCCAACAATTTCCTCCTCATCTCCAGCCTCAATCAAAGTCTTCCAGCTTGAAACCATGCTATGCCATGTGTTATTTCCCTTCCTTTCGTACCTCAGTTTCCCTTTCTCTGGAACGAGGAGACCAGTGAAGTGCATTTGGCTGTTTCTTCTTTCAGAGAAGAATTAGAGCCATGTGTCCTCCAACTGGAGGCAGGGGCACCTTTTTCTAGAGAAGAACAAGAAATGAAAGCAGAAGCTCTCACAGCACCATACAAACCCTCCAAGCAAAAAGCCCTTTTTCCACTGGAGTTTTTGCTCCAGGTCAGATGTGGGGAAGAAGCCACAGTCAGTCAGGTAATTTAATGGACATCGTTGGAGTCCTAGAATAAAATCATAGAACCATTTGGGTTGGAAAAGACCTTTAAGATCATTGAGTCCAACCACTAACTCAGCACTGCCAAGGCCACCACTAAACCATGTCCCTCAGTGCCACATCTACATGGCTTTGAAACCCCTCCAGGGATGGGGACTCCACCCCTGCCCTGGGTGTTCCTCCTTTCAGGGAAGAAATTGTTCCCAATATCCAATCTAAACCTCCCCTGGCACAACCTGAGGCCATTTCCTCTCGTTCTATCACTTGTTCCTCAGGAAAAGAAATCAACCCTCCTCACTCCAACCTCCTCTCAGGCAGCTGCAGAGCCAGCAGGTCTCCCCTCACCTCCTTGTCTCCAGGCTGGACACCCCCAGCTCCCTCAGCTGCTCCTCAGGAAACTTGTGCTCCAGCCCCTTCCCCAGCTTCCTTGCCCTTCTTTGGTGACTTTGGCCATGCTCCAGCTGCAGAGTCCCAGGGCATCTCCACCTCCATGTAATGCTACTGCTTCTTGAGTTGGTCAAGTCCCTCTTCTATACCTGTTTTTCCCCTGCTGGTATCATCACTGGATCTACTCTTTACATTAAAGAATTCCTGCTCATTCCTTCTGTGCATTGGAAGTAAAAAAAAAAAAAGCAGCAATGTGTGGAGCAGCATTAAGCATATTTATGCAAATTGGTTCTCAGCCTAGATTGGAGGGACACGTATCTGTAAATCAGTTTAGAGAAGGCAAAACAGAATAACAGTAGCATATTAAAAGGAGTCTTTTATCAGTCTCAAAACCAGCATTGATGGCACCATCGTCTGGTTTATTAACAGGCTCGTGTTCAGTTTGTGTTGGCCAAACCATCTAACATTTCAGCAAACCAAAACCACTTCCTGTCTAGAACTCAGCCCCTGACCTGGCTGGAAGCTCACAATAAATCTATACATTTTATCAGATTTTTTGAGCCAGGCTTTCAGGGAAAACTCTTCTGATCCCTGGAGAGAAAACCCTGCGTGAAGCAGAAGGAGCGTCTGGTTCTCTGAGAGCCACCAAACATCAGGGTCATTCAGAAGATCAAGTGTGGACCCAAAGACTTGACTCCTCATACACTGAAACAAACCCCATCTCTGCCAGAGATGTGTTGAGCAGACTTTAGCTCTATTATTCAAGTCAATTCAACCAGGAAGCTTGGGGAATGGTTAACCCTGCTGTGGTAACTAAGCAGCCAAGAGCATGATTAGTGAGGATTTAATTAGAGGTACAATTTGAGCCATTTCAAGAGATGGAAAAGGATTTTGAACACAATTTAGGTGGATCACGTTGAAGAACCTTCTTCTGGTTTAGAAGCCAAGCGGACTCAGCATTTCTGCTAATGATAATGGGTGAAAAAAGCCCATGGTTTTTGGGCAGCCTTGGCCAGTGAGGGTCAGGGTGAAGCCTGGAGAAGGTGCCCCAGTGCTGTGATGGTTGTCACACACCATTTTGGCACCTACAGACTCTGACAAGGAATGTTAAGGGAAGGACTGTGCTTTCAAATGCCTCCCTAAATCACAGGGAGAGAAGTTCCATCAAGGTAGCCCACCCTGTGTCCCCCTCCAGACCTGCCTTTGAGCACTGCAACCAAGGTGGGCAGGTGGGGAAGCAGTTTTAGCACCCAGCCTGGTCTTCAGGACCAAGGGTGCTGACACCTAATTAAGCAAGAGACTGGGCAGGACCCTGATGCAAGAAGCTGGGCTCTTTACATTCTCTTGTAATGCTTTCTCATTTAATTTTGGGTTGGTCTTGCTCTTTGGTCACAGATACAGATTTAGGGTCAGAAAAATTCCTTTCTGCTGGAAGACTCTGAGGGGTTTGTACTTTTATGAGTGATTTTAACCATGCTTAAAAGCACTGGAGATATTAAGATGTTATTGTGATGCACCCTTCCAGATTTCATGGCTGTTCTTGAGTATCCTGGTCCCCAGAGCAAGGGGGATGAAGCATAAAGAAAAGGAGTCATCTTTCCTCTTCAGTGATGAGAAAACCAGCTGAAAAGTGGATGACCAGGATAATTATCTTCATCCCCATACACATAAATGCACATCCAGTGAAAAGCAAGTGGGGCACCACTGACATTTCTTACTTGTACTTAGGCAAGTCTCCCACTGGAGCTTGTTGGTTTGTTTTGTTTCTGAGCAGAACAAAGACCCCAGGCTGTGGTCCACACTGTGGATGATGCTGAAAGAGTTATTACTGAGCAAATTAGACTTTGATACTGAGCTGTTCTAAAAAGCAGGCAACAATCCAAAAAGATGAGCAGATGTTAAATTCCAGATCCCTTTTATCTGCCATCAGCAACACTGTTCACTTAGATCTGCAGGGACTGACCTGTGCAACCAGAGTCAGTTGTCAAAGTGCCACAGAAAGCAGCACCTTTATCACCAGTGATCATGTACAAGAGGAAGGAACAAGCTAGATTTTCAGCTGAAACTGCCAGGATGGGTGTTAGAAATGCCACCTTTTCCTTTGTGAGCAGTAGACACGTGAGAGAACATCAGCCTAAGGCCAAAGTACCATTTCTTGCTAATGAATGGTCTTGAAAGCAAACCATTGCTTCCTTGCTTCAGGCAGCACCACTCAGAAACCAGCCAGCCAAGTATTGAAGACTTTAACAGGTTGGGGTTTTTTTAATGGAAACTCCTCTTTCAAGTCACACGAAAAGCAAAACAATAACAAAATATAAAAAATGCCAACACTCAGGTATAAATCAGCAGAGCAACACTGACAATTCCAGCACGTTGCATATTCTGAAGAGCACACTATTCATCATCCTCACCAGCAGACAGGGTGAGATCTGCATTGTAGCTCATTTGAAATCTTCATTCCTTTGCTGATCCGTTTCCCAGAGGGTCCTGATTCAATGGTGCTGGTCAGCACAGCTTCAGGGTTGGACCATCCCAGCAAAAAGGTTCCTGCCCATTTCCCTCCCACCCCCCCCCACC